TATTCTGCCATGTAGTCCTAGAATTTATCTACTCTTCAATCTATGATCTTTAAACACAAAAAGCAAATTTTAAAAGATTTACCAGCATTTTGAGGATTAAATAAAGATCCAATAACGGCAAATGTACTGAATATTTGAATGACATTTGCTAGTATAGATTAACTATTATTTAGTATCTAAAAAAACAATTTGACCTGAAAATAAATAGATTTAACAGTCCATATTTTTATTAAGACACTGAAGATTGAAAAAGAAAATTGTTACATTTAATCCAAAGGAATAACCAGATCTAAGCTTTTGGCTCATTTAAAAGCTCAAAAGAAGCAATATATTATTCTTTAACAGTTCACCTCTTAGAGGTGCAGAAAAGAAAGAGTTTCATTCAATAGTTTTTTCCTCTCTGAGTCAAAAACATTTTAGCCAGAATCACCGAGACAGCGATCGCCCATTGGGAGCCTCTCTGGTCTCATTATAGGCAGCATACTTCTCCCGAAACTCATGCAGAAAGTTGTACTGCTGCAAAAAAAACAAAAAGAAAACATTCAATCATAAGCAAACAGCTTAAGACAAATCCCCAAAATCCAGCCTCACCTTCACAGTTTGTATGGCACTTCCCCCTCTGTGCTCTCTGAGGAACTCGATGGCTTGGTTGGCAGTGAGTGTCGAGGAGAGCTGGAGCAGCAGGCAGGCGGCGACTGAGGAGACGAGTGCTGAGTTACAGAAAACGCCTAAAGCTAAATGAAAACATCGCCTCATAAAGGTTGGCGCTCCTTACTTAAAGCAGATCGTCCCAGGCCTCCATAGCAGCTGAAAGGGGAAAGAAAAAATAAAAATTAGACGCCAAACTTACAGGCAGAGGGTTCAGTGGTGACCATAACACAAAGATATCATCATCAGTAGACATTTTGAATCTACTTGAGGTGATAATCAACCTCTGATGGATCAAAGTGTTTGTTCATCGCCTCTGGAAAGCATGATCCTCTCATCAGCAGTTAAACCAAACAAGATAACCTTCAATAGTGATAAAGAATAAGAATTTTAAAAATAATTGAACTTTATTTACTCTCACACTGGAAATTCACCTCTGCAGTTACCCCATTCCCTTAAGGAGCAGTAGGCTGCCACTGTGCGGCGATGGGGGAGCAATTGGGGGTCTTTGCTCAGGGAGCCAGAGTGGCAGTCTGTGGGAATGAGTGGGACCCAAGTGCAATGCTCTAACCATCACCTCTCCTCATATTATATAATGAAACCTTTAAAGTTCTTTTTAAATAGGAAATAACTCATTATTCTACTGCATCTTCCGCAACTTCCCTGACACAGTTCCAAAAGCACCTTAAAACACACCTTTTCTCTCTTGCCTACCCTTCCTAACCCCCTCCCTGTCCCTACCCCCCCTTACTTCACCTCTTGTAAAGCGACCTTGGGTGTCCTGAAAGGCGCTTTATAAATCAAAGTTATTATTATATGTATTTTGCGCTGCATTGAAAGTTTCCATATCAATGCCCAACATTATTTTTAAACTGGTTTTCCTTTCCTCCTGCAACGTTTACATTCTGATCACTGCTCTTTAGAAATGGTTATGTTCATTTCACTTTAATAAGCTGTAAGCAAAGTGATGCCGTTTTATATACACTGAGTATACAAAATGACAATAAAGTTAGTCTAATAGCAGTTCAGTGAAATGTCTATTGAAGTTCAGCTGAAGCAGCTTCAACAAAACTCAAATGAATAATTTCAGAAATGGTCCCAAACTAAAAAAAAAAAAAAAAGGGATCAAAACAGGAAATGGAGCGAGCGTTCATGTTTTCATTTCCTCTAATCGTGACGTGCTGACTATAAGTGTAAAAACTCGCTTACTTTGACAATCAGGCTTTAAAACCAAAATCTTCAAAAAGTGTTCCTTAGATCTAAATTCAAACTTTTATATTTTGAGAATGCTAAAGTTTCCCTGTAGCCGTACATCATGAAGCTCAAACATTAGTTCATGAGAGGCAGGGCTCCTACTCTTTTTTTATTTAACATTTCTATGTTTTATTTTTTTTTCCCAATGAAGCAGCTCAGCTGTCAATCACTCTTTAACAAGTTCCAGTTTTTGTATTTTTTCCCAAGTATTGGAACACATCTGGAAAAGCCGAATTCAAAGGTTTTATCCCATCTTCTACATATACCAATGCTACTTTTTCTCCTTAAGGAAACCCATGTTGGTGCTGATTTTACTCACTGGATCACGGTCCTCCTGTTGCTTTCAAGGCAGCGCTGCAGCTCCATCAGGATCTGGCAGCACTGCTCTAAGTCGGGGACGTCTCCGTCGGGGAAAGGCGTGTGGTGCACGGTGAAGCCTTGCTGCTCATAGACCTCCAGGAGGGTGGGGACTCTGTAGATGTGAAGCTCCCCTCTGGTGCAAAGGACGAACAAGTCCTGCACCCCCTGGTTCTTCAGCTCATCTGAAAACAGGAAGCAAAATCTGGGCATCAACAGGCTTTCCTTTTTTTGTAAATATATACTAATTAAATATATTAATTAAAAGCTTGGAGAGAAAAAAAGAAACAATACAAAATAATAAATAAAACATTGAACTTGACGTCCAGGATTCATGTATTTTGTGATTAATTGCCAGCTGAGCAGATTATTTAAAGCCTCACCAACATCTCTCTGCAGGGACCTACGGACATCTTTAAATTTGCAACCTGGAATAAAGAGAAAGTATTACGATGCAAACATTGGTTGTCCTCACGATTTCAGGTGAGCAGGATTGTTACCTGGTAGAGCACATATTCCCAGGTACTGTGAGCACTCAACTATAGACAGAGGTAACCTAAAACCAAAGTGGAAACATTACATCATCATGAGCTAAAACCTGCTGGTTATAAATTCTCATTTCAAATGATTTATTTTTCTTTTTTTTGTACAGTTTATCATAACAAACCTCAATGTATTTAATAATAAAGATAGATCAGGGAGGAAGAAGCTGATTTCAATGAGAGGCGACTATAATACTGACTCAGAGGGACTCAGTTCAAATGCAAATGACTCTAAAAATGTTCTTTTAATTCGATCAAACCTTCCACCTCCCAGCTATGCACAGCTTTCTGCATCAAATCACTGGAAATTCACTGAGGTTGGAACAAATGGCTGAAAGGGGATGAAAACTTTTGCATGTTGAGCTTCATTTACCAGCTAATGTGGAGCGGAGTCAGCTGTCCTTCATCCAACTCCTCATCCTCAGAGGAAGAGTCAAACTCAGTCGTCCTCATTTCTGCAGACAGAAAGCTGTCACAATAACACAATGTTCAGATCAGATCATTTCTAAATTAATTTAGCAGAATTAAACCGTCTGCTTTTTATCAGGCATCATTTTTAATATTTTCCCACAATGTATAAAACGTGTCTAACGAATATATAAGTTATACGAAACAAAACAGGTTAGACATAAGTCTATTTTTATTTATTTTTTTAAACATGCTAACATGCTAACGTTAGCTGATTGGACTCTACGTCAAATTGAACAGTTTAAATAATTAGCAAAGCAATCATACATACAGCAGACATAGAAAGTAAATAGTTCTTAAGATATATATACATATATTTCCATACTTTAAGGTATTTTCCACCTTTCTCGCTCTCTTCTTGTCTAATTTTTTTACAACCGAGCAATTTAGAAACTACAATTTGAAAAAACACCCTTCAAAGCTACCATCCAATCAAATCAAAGAACGTCCATCTAACCCCGCCCACAGCAAAACGTCACCGGCGCAAAGTGGCGTTCGATTTAATAACCTGGGCAAATAGGATGAGCGGAGTAACAAGACGAAAAACCAGCCTTAATTTTACATTTATTTTTCTTTTCAATATATATAAATTAATAAAAGAGATTTTTTATCTGAACTGAGAAAAATCAAATTGTGAGAGAATAATTTTTTTCTAAAAAACAGCCAAAGATTCACAGTTTCTACACATGTGTGCTGACTGTTGATTCACAACTGTTATGTAGCTACCTATGGAGATATGATTGTGTATAATCAGTACATTGTATCATATATCAATTACCCTTATAGGAAATAGTAACTGTCTGTTAATATTATTCATAGCCCTTGATTATTTGTTGATTTTTAAACTAATAAAAGCAAGTTCACAACTTAGAAGAGAAAATCTCACATGAAAGTAACGTGTTCATTGGTATTGAGCCCCTTATCAATCCAAAACCCCCTAAATGAAGTAAAGATTAACGAACTGCCTTCGGAAGTCATCTAGATGGTAAATCTTTGTGTAAAAAATTCTCAACATACAGACAGGGCAGGGACAATATTGCGGATTTAGGCTATTAAAACTGTCTCAGTTACACACGTCACACCAAACTAGCAGTTCTCACCATTAAACAAGGTGGTGGTAGCATCATGTTGGGGGAATGTTGGCCTTCAGCAGAGACAATGAAATAAGTAAATTGGGGTATTGATTAAAATAAATGGCAGTAAATTTGGGGACAAAACCTTCAGGGAGAACCACAGTGGAAAGCTTTAGATCAAAACATATTAATTTCTGCAGAATGACCTAGTCAAAGTCCAGAATCATATTCATAATGGAACAAGCTGGGATTCAATACACCCCTCTGCTATTGGCTGCTAGACTTCCTCACCAACAGACCTCAGTCAGTCCGGGTCGGACAGAACATAAGCAGTTATATATACATATATGCATATGTATATACATATGTATATATATATGTATATATATGTTTTTTTTTCTTCCACACTGCTTACATTTGATCACTGCTGCACTTTATGGAATTTAGTTAATAGATGATTTACTGAAAAGTTGTTTTAAATTAAATTTTGCGTTGTATACACTCTGTATACAAAATGACAATTAATGTTGTCTAAGTCTAATCCTGAATCATATTAAAATATCAACAGCAAAACTTAAAAAGAAAAACTAGATGTGTGGAGCAGATAAAGAAGTAACTCAACAAACTAGCAGCACATTTTTTTTTTGCATTTTAAAATCATGTTTCCATTTAGAAGACCTTTAAAAACATGACTTTATCTGTGAAGATTGTAGACAACTAAATGTTTCAGTAATATAGAGAAACTATATTTATTGACATACACAAATGATTGCTTTGCATCTGACTGCATTCCCTCCTCTGAGGCATCTATGAGGTCTGCTTCCTCACAGGCGGAGATCTTCTGTGGACACGGAGCAGCACAAGGAGCAGCACGAGCCTTTCAACAGCCAACTGAGACAAAGCGACAGGAGGATAAAAACAGAAGACTTTTTAACATCCCAGGGATAAATGCACATCAGGTGAGCTCCTTTTGCAATACAAGATATTATTTGATTCTTTTTCCTAATAGATACCAGAATTATTGCATATAACTAATAAGATAATTAGAGTTTTATAACCTTACAGTCTATGATGAGATATGATCAGATCATTAAAAACCATACCTGCTTTTTGCTCAATTCTGTTTTGATATCTATTTAAATTACAAACTTTTTTGCATTTAGCCTTTTGATTTCATATTCTATATCTATTTTTCTGATCTCTGCCTGCCCTTCTGTTAGCAGACTTATAAGGAGGGCTCTTGGCTTCTGCAGCAATCCCCCCTGCGGGGCTGAGCTCTTTTGGCTGGCTCAACACTTCCTTAGCAGAGGGGCTGCTGGCAGGAGCCACATCTGAACAGGTAACGCAGACAAACAAGCAGACAACAGACAAAAACTGTCACTGGATCCAGCTTTTGAAAAAGTAAAGATTCTAATATATTTGCTGGGTTTCCTTCTGACTCTTAAACAAGCAGGCAGATTGTATTCGCCGCACGGTTTGTGCTCATTAGTCACTGAGTGTTTGCAAACGGGCTTGTTTGTGTCTTTCTCTGCAAAGGTCATGAAGCCTCGAGAGGCTGAGCTCGTCACTGAAATCTCAAAGGTAAATTTCTCTCATCAGCAACTTGGTTTAGTTAAAGAGACAGTATGTGTAAACTTTCCCTCCAACTATTTTAATATTATCAGATTATTCCTGTCCAGTGTGGAAAATTTACATTTTTCTTTTTTGAGTTATCTTAGAGCTACTTCATATGTGCTGAATCTTAGAAAGTGTTTCTAATACTGACCTATGAATGGAGGAGTCGGCATTTTCCTCAACTTCATGCATAAGAAAAATATATATATATATATTTTTATACATATGTTTATTGGTTATTTTTCCATTTTAATAAAGACAAACACACATTAACATAACAATACACCGGCTTAAAAAAAAAAAAAAAAAGTAAATATATATATAAATTAAATAAATGAAGTGATAAAATAAAATCAAGACCAGTATACAATATAAAGGGATCCCAAATATTATGAAACATATCATCTCTATTATGTAATTTACTAGTTAAAAAGTCCAGTGAGACATATTCAAGGACGATCCGTTGCCATTGTGTTGTGGATGGAACCTTATCTGTTATCCAGTTCAAGAGGACACATTTTCTAGCGCAGAATGTAAGCATCCTGTAAAGGTGTTTTTCACAATTCTTCTTAAGGCTTTTGTTTGTCACTCCCAGTAACATATGCATTGGATTACACTCAGTGCTAATGGGGAAGATCTTATCCAACTCTTTCTTTATACTGAACCAGAATTGTTGAATTTTCCTACAGGACCAAAGACAGTGAGTTAGGTTACCCACCTCAATTTTACAAGAAAAATATTTTTAATGTTTCTTTTAATTTCTAATTTCTAATTTTTTTTTATATTGTCATTTTGCTGGTGAAGAATCCCAGTCATTCAGGTCATAATCATTCCAAAAAGTGTGTTTGTTTGAAGTTTGAAGACGTTTCGCCTCCCATTCAGGAAGCTTTTTCAATTCAAAATGTCAGAATTAGAGTTGAGTTACAAACTTTATAAAGTGGCCCAAAAACAAAGAAAACATGCAAATTGAACCAAAGGACGGGTCTACCCCTTAGGAATGAGGAGTTGTTTGGGTTCTTTGTTAGCCTGAAACATCCTATACTGGTCTACGCCTTTGAAAGGGGGGTCGTTAGGGGGAAGTGTTGGCCTGGCTGATCAGGCGAGATGTTTTGGTCCCGTTTGGGTTCCGATGATAGCTGGTGGAATCAACTCTATCGCTGCGTTGTAGGTTTTTGAAAGCTGAAACCTGAGTCCACCCTCTCTGTTTGAGGTTGTTGTTTTTTCTTAACATAAATGGCTTCTTTAACACCCCTTTCAAACCACCTGTCTTCTTCTTCTTTCTGGTCCTCAAATCAGTGTCCTTCGTCCTTAAAGTGTAGATGGACAGCCGAGTCTTGTCCAGAGGAGGGCGCTCTTCTATGTTGGTTGAGAGGTTGTTTGGTTTCCCCAATTTGTCTAAGGATCTCGTTTGGTTTGTTCTGTTGCTTGTTGATTTGACAAACACCCAGTTTGGGTAGCCACAGGTTTGGAGAGCATCTATTTATTTTTTATTTTTGAGTTTTTCCAGCACTATGGCTGATTTTTTTGACAGTAGGCTGACAGGAAAGGGGGATGAGAGAGGGGGACAGACATGTGGCAAAGGACCACAGGCTGGATTCAAACCCGGGCCCACCGCATCGAGGACTAAGGCCTCCGTAAATGAGTCGTGCGTCCTAACCACTGCAACACCTGCCCTCCCTGGAGAGCATCTTTGATGTGTCTCTGAGGGAAACACAAAGAACTTCTTGGAATCATGGTTTTATATTTAGAATTTAGAAAAATAAAGCTGAAGTGTAGCTCATAAACAAAGTAAAAGCTGTTCTGAAGTCTCCTAGCACTTAATACTGCTCCTAATGTGATAACCATTAAGTTAGCGGCATGGAACTTTCCCAGGGAGAGAAAACCTTTGGTAGAAAATGCTGGAGAGCAGGTCTGCAAGCACTAGATCACAGGGAATTAATAAATCACATAAATGGGGAAGCTCCTCCAGCTCCTCCTGTATGCATCCTTTTATTACCTCAGCTTGGGCTGCACCCCCGATGTTGCTAACATGGTGGAAAATAATGAATATAATAATTGTATAATTACTAGTCTGCACAGACTTTGTTTCTGTTTGTTTCATTTTAAACAAAGAGGAATGCTAAAGGATCTGAGGTAGTGAGCTTTTCTCAAATTGGAGACGATAGTTTTCGTTTATTCTTGTGTCATAAAGCTATCAAGCTACACATGTGCATACAAATACAAATTCCACAAATACAAATCCCAACTAAGGGATGACAGGCTTCAGTACAAACAGCACTGTTATTCTACACTCCATTAATGGCTTGTTTAAAAAATAAATCATGCAAGATGTGATTCCATTTTTATTTGTAAAATTGAACCACATGTCATTTGCTTTTCACATCAGTATTAAAACTACTATGTACTTTTTAATGCAAATATCCTATAAAATAAAGTTGCTATTGAACTATTGTTGAAAGGGTGTGAAATCTTTTGCATGGCACTGTGATCTGATGTCATTGTTTATCTTTTTAGTTACAATGCATGGTCACAGAACTCAAAACGGGTTTTACCAGCGCCTTGCTGGAGCTCAGTCAGATCCAGCAAGGAGACTCGCACCTGAGGGAGAAGCTGGAGGAGAACAGGAGGAGCTGTCAGAAGAAAGCTTTCCGGTTGGAGGCTCTGGTGGAGTCACTGAGGGTGAGATCCTGTTTGCCTGTGATCCCGGCTGGCTTTAGAATATACAGATCCATGGCATTCTGTCTTTCCTTAGGAAGAACTTGGAGTGCTGAGGTGTCAGATTGTGCAGCTGTACAGCAGCAGACACAGGACTGATCAGGATGGAAAGAGCTCCATGTCCAAACCAACAGAAAGGTACGATCTCAGATGTGGAGCTGCACAGATAGGAAGCCAGATGTTTTACTCCTGCTAAGTAGAGCAGATCTTTCTATACAGGCCTGTCATTTGGACTGCAGGCATGGATCTGATTTTATGGTAATAGTGCACTAAAAGGAACATAGAACAAGATATCCCTCCAGGAATTCCACTAACGCGTTTTTTCAATTAACGTCAGACACCTAAAGCTATCTGTTTATAGTCTGTCCTTGGATTCATCATTAAGTTAAAGACATTGAAAAATTGCACAATTTAAATCCAATCCAAAGCAATGTAAAACCTGTAAAATAGCATTAACCTAAAACTCTATAATATATGATTTTTTTTGTTATATTCATTCCTATTAAACTGTTACTCTGATTAGCAGGTTTCATACAGGAAGGTCATTGGTGCATCATCTCCAACCCAAGATTCCAGTCATCAGAACCATTTATTTATTGTAAATTAACATCCAATGCAAATAGTTTATAGGTTCATTAAAAATACATTTCTAAAAACACTTTGGGTTTTTGAGTCAAAGTTTTTAAAATGGGGAATATTTGCTTTGGTCTCAGACCTTTTTGTGCTAGCCATTAGCTTTAGCCTCCAGGGGCAATTATGGTCATTTGTATTCTTACTGTATAAAGGAAAATGTTTCTGAAATAATTATTTCATCTTTTTGGATAACATAGTTAGGAAGAATTTGGTGTTCATAATATATACTGTAGCTAATTCTTCCTGTTAAAAGGGAGTCTTTCCTCTCCACTGTCGCTACAAGCATACTTGGTGTGAGGGGTTGCCTTTGAGTCAATGAGTCGATGCAATCAACTGGTTTTCCTTAGATAGAAAACTTTATGACTGTATGATCTGGTTAAATTGTCTCTGTTAAGTGCCTTGATGATGACTTGTTGTGAATTGGCACTATATAAATAAACTGAATTGAATATTATAACATTGTGATCATGTTTAAAAACCAGTTTAAATTGGAATTAAATGTCTAATTAGGCAAAACATTTCCAAAGGTGAAGAACTATGTAGAAATAGTTCAGACTGATTGCAAAAAGCAAGAAAACAGGTCTGGTCTTTGTTATCATAGTCAAACCAGCTGAGACATTTCTACATCTGTCCACTGTCTCTGTCCAGCGGTCCAGCAGAGCCGGTTGGGGACCAGAGAATTTGCCGGTGTCCATCTCCTCCAGCAGCCTGCCTTTCCAGAGGGAAACTGCTGCTTCACTGTTTCCTCCAGGGTCTAAAAGCTGGGCTGAGTGAAGGAACAGGTCAGTCCATGAATACCAGACGTTCTGACATGTGCAACTGTTTTATCTTTAAAGTGGAATTGATTGTAATTCATCAGATCAACAAAAGCTGGAAACAACTGTATTTACGTCCAAAACGCAGAATTTGATTTGGAGTCCAGTGCACCAATAATCACTCTCTATCTAATATAATATAATTCTCAATCATTTGAATTAATTTGTTAAATCTCTATCCAGTAGTTTTTTAGATAAGGGTATTGTTGTTAACTTAGGGTGATGATGGAGGAGCAGGTTTCATCACTTGAGCCTCTGGAAATTGCAATATCTTCTGGGTTAATAAAAAAATGACAATAGTAAAGGGATTATAATCAGGTTTTAACGGCAACAATAGATTCACTCTGCCTGTTAACATAATTAGATAACAGAAAGATATATTTTATTCATAAACCTTCAAACTGAGGTCCTTTGTAAGAAAAGTTTATTTTTTTAGCTTTAGTTTCTAAGTGGGAGGCTAAGCACTCTCGTGCGCCCTCTGGTGGCCATGGAAACCTCAAGCAGCGGTTTATTGCAGACTACCTCTGAAGTAACCTGACAACATGCATCTAACCTGACAACAGCCAGATGCATGTCTATGCATCTGGCTGTTGTCAGGACTATGGGGTGAACTTTGTTCCACTATTTCTGCAAAAAAAAAAAGGAAGAAAAAAAGAAAGAAAAAATAAAAAATATTGCAAATTAAAATTTAAAAGAGCAAATTAACTTTGAACAACTTTAAAATAAAAAAAGGTTTTAAGGGCAACTTTTTCAAAAAAAAAATTTCACAAATGTTTTTTCTGTTTTCAAGATTGATTTCTACAAATTGTATTATTTTCAAAATGAATTATACAGATCACAATCTCTTCCAAGCCCAAAAAGGGTTGCTCTTCACCAATCCCAATGCTTTTGCCAACATCCATGCAGAACATTAGAAAGGCATCTTCACTTCTCACTCCAGGAGATGAAATACAATTTGAACAAAAAAACAACCTTAATCCATTAAACTCAATCAGAAAAAGGAAAAAATAAAAACAAGACTTTGCCCCCTTATACAGGGATATATAAGCAAAGGGACTATAGATACAATTTCTTTACATGCTGATGATATTTTACTGTTCATAACCAATCTTCAGTGTACTATACTAATGCTCCTGGATACAATCTCTCAGTTTGGCAGGTTCTCGGTTTATCAACTGATCTAAGAGTGAACTGATGCCAATTAAGGTCAATTTTTTTTTAACCTTAATTTAATTTGCTGTATGAAGCTAACTCTCCACCCCTTGTGGTGAAGCTGGACGTTTTGGAGATCTCTTCCCATTTATTTCCCTGGTGAGAAGAATCAATGCAATAAAAATGACTTTTTTTCCTCAGATCCTTTCCTTGTTCCAAAATATCCCCATATTTTTACCTAAGAATAAAAAAAAAAAAACTTGATTCCATAATCGTTCCATTTCTATGGGGCTATAAACTGCACCGAATTAGCAAAGCTCACCTTTGCAAGGCAAAATTGGAGGGCGGACTGGCCCTTCCCAATTTTTCATTTTATTATTACTCTTATATGTTATTGCAATTTGGCTAGATCGTAATTTTACACAATCTAAGTGGATTATTATGGAAAAGGAAGATTGCAGCCCTCATGACATTGGTGCTTTTATTCTACAACCAACAAGCTTAGATACCTTAGCATACAACAATAACCGCATCATTCACAATACTATACATATTTGGAAACAGATAACATCCCAGTTTGGTATTAAATCTATATCTACATTATTGCCAATAGCAAATAATCCTTCATTCGTCCCCTCCACTGTAAATTCAGGTTATACACAATGGAAAGATCTAGACACTGGGACTGTTGGTGACCTGTTGATGGGTGGTAAATTTGCCTCTTTCTCTCAACTTTAAGACAAATTTGTTCTCCATAAACACAATCGTCTTAGATAGCTACAGGTCAGGGGATATGCCAAAAAACACATGCGCACTTTAGAGCACTTCTGTTTCGTTTTGACTTTGCGTTGTCTTTTTATTTCACGTTCACATAAAAAAAAAAGAGGACAAATTGGTATTGTTGATGTTTGAATTTTCATGTCGGTTTCCTCAATAAAACTGAAACACACAAAAAAAGAATTTGCAAAAATAATGTTTGAATATAGAAAAATAATTTTAGAAAACAGCAAAGTTACTCTCAAAACCTTGTTTAATTATTCGCTTTTCAAAGTTCAATTTCTGCATTTTTCAAGTTTTCATGTAAAAGAAATGTTTTGTACTTTCAAAAAATGGAGCAAAAATATATTTCAACCACTTCTGAGGTCTTTGTTGCAAAATGCAAGTTTAAATTCTTTAAACAATACAAAGGGTCCTCAGTAAATAAACAGTTGATCATTTGAGCATTAAGAGATTCCACTTTGGTTCTGCAGATGCTCGACATCAGGTGGCGATGCAGCTCCTGCACTCTGAGTGGGAATATGTGTCAACTCTAAACCAGCTGTATGAAAAGTACAAAACGCCTCCAGGCCATCAGACCGACATGGAGCAATAGTGAGCCTTACCTCAGTTAAAATATTCTTAAAACTGGAGGGAAAGTTGGAGATTTTCAGAGATTTATTTTATCTTTTCCATGAGCCAGTCAGACATATGTGACGTATGTGGAGCAGCTCCTGCAGCGACATGTGCACTTCAGGAACACCCTGCAAGAAAGGTTATCTGCAGAACACTGGAAATCTCTAGTTGGAGACATCGTGGTTCAGCTTATTGGCCAAAATGATGTGAGCCCCCCCCTTTCTTTTTTATTCACTCAAAGACCTTGAAGCCTGTTCTGGCGACCAATGGTTAGAAGGCCGTTCCATATTAACTCTGGCTTTGGTTGTTCCAGACAGCTTTTTCAGACGTGTACCTTGGATACACGACGACTCTGGCATCATTCCTCTCACTTGAGTTCAGCCGACTGAATCAGCAGGAGAAAAGTGACCAAACGCAGGTACATGTTGCAATGAGCTGACCTTTCAGCATCTTATAACAACACGGTCATGTTGGGGGGTGACATCTTTCTGTTGATTCTCCCAGAGGGGCCAGATGGAGAGAGAGGAAATAAAACTGCTCTCTTTGCTGCTGGCTCCTGTTGCTCGCATCCACGGCTACCTGAGTCACATTCAGGTGAGTTAGACGGAATTTTGAAATTAACCGTTAATGCATTATGATATCTGAGTTTTTTATCCCTATTAAAGAACCTGCTGCAGTGGACTGGTAAGGAGCATCCTGACTGCAGCCTCCTGCTGGGGTCTGAACGAGCTCTGAGGAGCATTTTGTCTCGTTGTCACGTGATTTTGGAGGAGGATGTTCGATGGGAGGAAGAGGAAAGAGCAGAGCAAAGGTCAGAAAGTTTTACCCAAAGGGTAAAGGGTTTTATACTATATACTGTTCTGTTAAAACAATTACATACATCAACCGTTTTAATTATTAGCTTTTAATTACACTTTGGGACCAATCTTTATGATTATTAACATATATCTTAAAACTAAAACTGGGCAACAAGCCTGAACTTATTGTAGATCTAATTTTATCTTATCTCTTATTACACAAATACGATGAAATGTACAGTCTGTTAAATAAGTCTTTGAACTTCCTGCTATTTTTCAAGTTCTCCAACTTAGAAATCATGGAGGGGAGAATTTGCAAAATAGCAGGAAGTCCAAATACTTTACGAGGGGCGTTCAATAAGTAATGCCCCTGACCCACTTCAACATGTTTGATCAACCTGAAATTTTGCATGTGAAATTATTTAAACCTCTATAGATTAAATAGGAAATTACAGCTATGAACTAATTGTGGTTTCTGATTTACAGGCGTTCAAACTGAGTCAAGTCTGTGTTTTTGCATTTGAAAGGACGCACCCAACGGGAGACTTTTGATCAAATAAAAGTAACTTATAGATATAATGTCACATAAAAACATTTTGCAAGGTCATATAATGGGCATCATCACCATAAGTTACTTTAATTTATTTAAAAGTCCTCTCCAATAGAAAAACCAGATCACTGCTCGACACTCAACAGGCTCCATTTCAGACTTTACTCAGTTCAAACACCTGTAAGTCAGAAACCACAAATAGTTCAGAGCTGTAATTTGCTGCTTAATCTATAGAGATTTAAATAACCTCACATGCAAAATTTCAGCTGGATCAAACATCTGGAAGTGTGTCAGGGGCATTACTTGTTGAACGCCCCTCTTAGTTTTATGTCTATTTTCAGGTTACAGACAAAAAGCCAAAACAAATGCTTTTGTTAGCCGGGCTCTGCATGGCGTCGTTCTGACTGGATATTTGAACACTATATGAATATATAATTGGTGAATTGCATGGATTCAGGTTTAAAACATGCAAAAAACATCTCCAAAGCATGTTTGAAAGTTTGTACAGAGTTTTTAGGTCTGAATGTCTGGCTGTGACTCCTTTAATGGTTTGCTAGCCATTAAACCAAACTACCTCTGTGTTTATCTCATCTGTCTGTGTTCAGTTTTTAACATTAGGCATCAGGCCGCTGTCAAATTTCAACTGCCTTTTAAGACGTCAGTCTTGGATCAGAGGCTCAGGTTTACAGTGTAGTGTGAAAAAAGTATTCGACTGTTCACCCCAGTTAAATAAAAGGAGATTGATGGATTTCACTCAGTCGGCACATTTATTTTTATATCTTTGCAAACAGAGAAAAGTTCATCATAACAGCTCTTATGCTTGGTAATCAGCCCCGTTCTGATCTAGACAGAGTTTTTCTCCCTTACTTATAGTGAGGAAAAAGCTGTGAAGGTTGTGTTAAAATAAATTACACACTTTGGTTAAACAATAATAATTCTTGAGAAAGAATTTGGCTTGTTATGGAATAAGTTTTCCTTGTATGCACATTTTGTGGCCTTGCAGGTGAAAGAGGCTGAGTAAAAACATTTTTCACTGGATAAATAGCAAAATTAAATCCATGAAAGGAGAGAAACAACATTTTCCAACCAGAACAGTCAAAGGCTTCACGGCTGTGGATAAAGATGCTGTTCCTGCATCTTCCAGTTAACGACTGGCTGGAGCTTTTGGGGATTCAATGATTATTCTTGAACCTGTTGAGACATTTTGGGTCAGATGGTTGAGACGGTCAGCTCCAACAGGATACTGAGTCCAAATATACTGCAGAAATCTTCTTTAAAGCTGGATTCAAGGCAGGAAAAATATTTTTTCCATTTCTGCCAGGATTAGCTTCAGTTAAACACCAAAGTGTCAGTTACAAAAAGCCTGGTATAAATCTTTAAGGCTCTTATGTTATTGGGGCTTTAATTTTGTCCATGTGCACTGCAAAAAAATGAAATCTAAATTAGTAATTTTTTCTTTAAATAAGTGCATTTTTTCTTGAATTAAGGATTTAAGTGAGACACTTTGCCAATGGAACAAGACAATTTACACTTAATTAAGAAAAAAACAATTGCATTTTCTTATTTCAAGTGCATAACATCTAGATACCTTATTTTAATAGTAAAACTACTAATTCCATTGGCAAATAATCTTATCTACCTGCTCAAATTAGGGGTAAATACATTTAATTTAAGACCTTTTTACTCATTTTGAGATCATTTTTGCAGTGTGGGAACTCTGATTTGCAGATTTCACTCAAGGCATTTGTTTTTTTTTTTTGTGAATGCACTTTCTGTGTATCCAGTTGATTTTCCAATTCATTTCTCACTTTTAATTTTGGTTCCTTTATTTTTTTTTAAGTGGAAATGTTTAAATGTTGATCATAATTTGATGCTGAGAGGTTTATTCCCTCATATGAACAGTGGCCCCTGTGATGCTGCAGTTGCTGTTGTCTCTGGAAGCTGTTGCTCCAGGTGCCAGCGGTTAAATGAGGAGTCGAGCTCTTCTGCTCAGAGGTAAGAATCTGCCTCTGCAAGCAGGAGGAATGGGTTGAGATGCAGTCACCTGAAATGGGCTAAAATTTGGTAGATTGTGAGAAAGCAGGTTTTTAAGTGAGAAGTGGAAGTCTTTTTAAAGTTTCCCTCTGACAGAGATCTCCAGTGTGCTGTTCCCCTCACCAACGGGGTGGACGGCTGTCACTCGATGCGTCTGGAGTGCTGGTCCTGCAGCCCGGTACGGAGGAAGGGCCTCAGAAGAGACCAGGCCACCCTGAGCCAGCCAGTCCACAGCTGTAGTCCTGGCTGCTGCTCCCTGCTCACCCCAGACGCCACAGGATGGGGAGAAAACAGCGACTCTGGTCAGGGCACCTTCAGCCACCCCACAGTGAGATCCACCAACGATCTGGAGACATCACATGCAAACCACATGGAGGGCTGCGAGACGGACCCCGATGACACCTCTGCCTTCGATTACTCCTCTGTGACGTCCTGCAGCCCTGACGGCACCCTGCGCAGAGAGATGATGGACACCAACAGCGGGGAAGATGATGACGAAGAGGACAGCCAGGTTCCGGTGCTGCTGAAGCCGTCCTACAGCCGGCAGCAGCAGGAGCAGCAGCCCCCCACAGGGGAGACCAGAGGGAGAACTGTGTGCGTGAGGTGGCAGATTCCCAGAGTCACCCCTCATCCTCCTCTTAGGAGCCCTGCAGGGCCGTACATAGACGGGCCGACGCCGTGCCTCATCAGCTCCTTTGGAAAGAGGCTGGTCAGCGTGAGGAAAGGCTCCCCTCCTCCACATTTGAAAAGTGCCTTCAGGCCCATCTGGGATGATCCGTCTAAGCAGGTATTTATTTATTTAAATGTTTGTCAGTTTAGAAACGTTTTTGACCTGCTTTGCAAAAGCCTTCCTCTCCCTGCTAAAGAGGAACAATCATACAACATGATGCTGCCACCACCATGTCTCAGCATGAGGATAATGTCTTCAGGTTGATAAGCAATGTTTTTTTTCTCCATTTGGGCCCAAAATGTCCTTCATGTGTCCAACTGATAAGCTCTGCAGCTCCTCCTAGAGTCCTGCTGGAGGCAACTGTTCGCTTAATGAATGAGTCTCAAAGTAAAGGACAAGAGACGCAAAATCATACTTTAGTTTCAAATATTTGTCCAGAATTTTTTTATTATAAAAGTGATGGGTCAATGCAGTACTTTCCATTGATCTATAACATGAAATCCCATTAAGTAACATTGATGCGATGAAAATGTGGAGGTAGATTGACCCATACTGGCTGTTGCAGGTTCGAGTCCCGCCTTACTGACCTTTGCCGAATGTCTCTTCCCTCTTTTGTTCCTGTACTTTCAGAAATAACAAAGTAAAGGCCACTAGAGCCCAACAACAACAAAAAAGTGATATAAGCAAGTAAAAGAGGTGGAAAGTGGTGGACAGGGTCTATTTTTAGCTAAGCAGAAACTTTGGTCCAGGACTCATCATCCTTCTAGATGCTGCCTTGCTTTTAAACTTGTAATGGGAAAGAAATGAGTTCTACACATTCTGTGTTGAAGTGCAGGAGAGATTTCAGCCAACCAAATCGATAACATCTAGCTGATGTAGTTCTAGATAATGGACTTATATTGTGGGCTGCTCAGTGTCACAGAGGGTAGTACTGCTGCCTTGTAGCAAGAAGGTTCTGGGTGTGATTCCCAGCCCGGGGTCTTTCTGCATGTTCTCCCTGAGCATGTGTGGGTTCTCTCTGGGTACTCCAGCTTCCTCCCACAGTCCAGAAGCATGACTGTTAGGTTCATTGGTTAATCTAAATTCTTCTTAGGTGTGAGTTTGATGGACTGGTGACCTGTCCAGGGTGGACCCCGCCTCTCGCCCTTAGAAAGCTGGATATAGACACCAGCACCCCTCGCGACCAAGGGCGTAGGTTTGATTTCAACTTTGGTAGGACACTACTGGTCGGATTTCATTAGTCCTTTGCAAAAATATGTATGCTTGATGTGAAAATCAGGGTGTATTTCGTTTAAAGAGAACAGCAGCATTTCTTGCTACATTTATGCAAATTTTATAAGCACTACCAACACTAGATGCTGTTTATCAATGACTGACGCTTTACTGGCTCTGATGAATGAGGAAATAGGACTTTTTTCCACTTTGAAAAGGTTTACATTTGAAATCACCTAAGAAAGTAGGTAAATCTCTGCCTATTTAACAGAATATAGTCTAAATATGTCTGTTAAATGTAGATTTATACATTTTTTTGAAGATATAGAATTGTGCAGAGGTAAACAGAGGTAAAACCCACTCGTATCTTTTAAATGTTCTCTTTGTATCATTAAAACAAAACAAAATAATAGATTCAAGGGACGCCAAATAAATGTATTGTATTTACAGGAGCACTGGAACTAGAAGATGAACTGACACTGAGCATTTTATATATTAACTTCACTCTACAAGCTCTACATCTAGGCTGTAGTTACTCTGTTTAACCCATTTCATGTATTTTATTTATGGCTGAAACAATTCATTGGATTAATCAATTATTGAAATAATGTCAACAAATGTAGTAATCGATTGATCATTATGGAGTATCGAGACTCTAAAAGATGTCTTTAGCTCACAGAGCGACCAACTTAGAGCAAGAATTATACCAAAATTGGAAAAAATTGATAAACATTTTTCCATTTTAGATAAAACATGTTTTCGTCCGTCAATATTCCACATTCCAGAACTCCTCTACTGCTGCAACAACACTGTATTATAAATGATAAACATGATATTCACATCTAATTGTTGGTAGGGACAGGTAGGTCCGTCCAAAGTTTTGGTAGGGACCTATTCCCATGCTCGCTACCCCACTTGGGATAAACGTGATGGAAGATGGATGGAAGATGAATTGAGATTGTGTTGATTTTGGCGCCCCCAGGTGGCAAACAGCTATAAAAGCAAACGTTTTTTTTTTAAAAAGTTTACATATATTGTGTTATCATACGGAAGAGGATTAGGGCCACTGAAAAAAAAAAAAAAAAGTAAACTGATTTTTAAATTTTAAAAAAATTTTTTTGAGAAAAAAAGTCAGAATTCTGAGAAAAAAGTCAGAATTCTGAGATTAAAGTCAGAATTCTGAGAAAAAAAGTCAGAATTCTGAGAAAAAAGTCAGAATTCTGAGATTAAAGTCAGAATTCTGACTTTTTTCCCATACTATACTGAAATAAAATAAAAAAAACAGTTAACTTTTTTTTTTTTTCCAGTGGCCCTAATCCTCTTCCGTATTATCATGATAAAAGCCTCTTGCCAAGATGTGCCCTCTGTCTCACATTCTTCCTCTTCTCTACATCTAAATGACTTTTCGCAGCAGGCAGATTCAGCTCCAGAAAGGGACAACAGAGCAGGTTTCATTCCAGTTTCAGCACCAGGGAGGCACGACTTCCAAGCTTTTAATCCCAGCAGGGAAAAGCTCAGGTAATTTCTGTCATTGGCTTTAAAAGCATAACGACGCCTTGAACTTTATATAAATTTGTAGTTTTAACCTGTGTAGTTCAATCTTCCGTTTTTAAGGCTGGGGCGATGATACAGATGTGCACACAGGTTTAAACTGATTGTGAATATTGATCAGGTTCATGCTTTTTCAAAAGTTGTACTTTTTCATCATTCTGGATGTTCCTACAATCCTTGTAATAAAAAAGGAAAATTTCAAAATAAATGTCCTGGAAATAACAATACCTTTAATTAAAAATGAATTCAAATCTGACAGTAGTAGTTGTGGCATTTAAACCCACTTATACAGTGGAATTTTTCATTTCTCATTACTCCTGTAAATATAAGTGGGGTTGAAGATGTTTTAAGTATATCTTTTTAATCACTGTGTGATTATAAAAGCTGTTGCTATAGGTCCAAATAAATATCACATTCAAAATTAATTGAAAATGTCTATTGTATTAATATTATGTAGACAAATGCATCTTAATACAGCTTAACTAAATGTGTCTAAAACCTTTCCTTGTCGCTTCTTCTCCTCCAGACCAGCGCTTGCTCAGCAGCGAGGGAACCAAGCAGCACCAGCAGCAGGCGGGGGAGGACTGTGGGACAGTGAGGACAGTGAGGGACCCTGCAGCACAGTTTGACCTTTTGCAGGCGTCTCCAGAAGCACGGCGAGAAAAACCGGAGCTCAAGCCGGATAAATCACCCCAGATTTGAACTACTGAGTGCATGCTCCAGTGGAAACTACTGCTCCATTCTTTCTCCAGTGTGTAAGAAAACTAAGGCTACAACACCCTGGGTTTTTCTTTATTAATTTGGAACATAATATTTGCAGCTGGAATCAACAGGTATGTCGGTTTGAGGCATATGCAGCTGTGCTTGAAGATTTACCTGCTGCCACTAAAAAATGAAAATGACAAAAGTAGCAAATAAAAATGAAACAAAATGGAAATCATGACATTGATTTTGAATGTATAGAATTACAAACGTATTTATATATTAATCAATAAAGCCCCTGAACTAAAATTGTATTAAGCAACATCAATATCAGGTGTTTTCTGTTAAGTTCAGACTTCTGCACCTGTTGACAGATATGTTGTTTCGTTGTTCATGAGCAAGGCACTTTCATTTGTCTGGGACTAATTGATTTTTACAATTATAAATACAAAATCAATATATTTTACTGAATTATAATTTAGCATTTTTATTTATTATTGTTTTGTTACTAATCATGTCTTTAATATAAGGGTATGTAAACCTTTAGCCTATACACCTCTGATGACGTCCATGATGCCAAACTCTCCTCACCAAGACTAAAAGGCTCACATTTGATCACCTTATCTGGTGTTTGAGCGGAAAAAAAATAACAGTAATTTGATTTCATCAAAGCAAGTTAAAATCTCATCTTTCCATTTGTGATGGTGGGATATAACTCCTAAACCTTAGCATCTGATTGTTGCTATGACGACGCTTCATTTGGCTCGCTTACGATCGTGGCTTTTCCATTTCACAAATATACAATGTTTGCTGAACTTCAACAAAATAATCAACAATTGAGAGACTTTAATGTGACAAAATATGAAATAGATATGAATAGTTTGCTTCCTGCTGCATGTTCAGAATGTTTAATTTAGGCTAACCTCACAGGATTGTCAGCCACTTTGGTTACGGTACGATAAAACTGGATTTGCTGCAAAGAGACGAATAAAGAAAAGGAGAAATGAGTGGTTCAGTACAAAATAAGACTGGGTGATTTATTAATCTCATCAAGATCATTAATACAAAGCAGTTAAAAGGCCACATACCGTCAAACAAACTGATTGCTGGATCAAACTGTTACAGTGCCATCAACAGAGAACTCAATAGAAGGGAAGGGTGTTGGTAAGATTCAATTTATCAATACTGACATGGGAAACTTGGGAAATGGAACAGAAACATGAGTCAATACATGAAAGAAGAATAAAAATCCTCCTGAACACCTCTTGGCAGTATTAGTTTGAAGACGTTGACTAATTACCCATCATCCTTAGCTCAACCTGTTTTTATCTAGAGGTTGTTTGGGGTGATCAGACACCCCCGAGCGTTTGTCTGATGCAAGTATCAGAGCCAGAAAGGGGATTGAAGATGAGGTGGTCGTCGCGTCTCTCCTGCCCTGATCCGTGGTTGCACAGGGTCACTGCATTTACAAACATTCCTGCAACAACTGTGGCTCTTAAACAGTACAGCCTAAAGTGCACAAAGTGTGTTACTCCCCAAAAACAAACAAAAAAAACACAAAGAAAATAAAAACCCAATTCCTTACAATGCGCCAAACAAAAACAAAAAAATCTGTGAATATATTTCATTGCAACTTTGATACAACTCCAACCTCTGTTTAATGAGTGTAAGCATTTAAAAGTCTCTGAAAAAGGAGATAAAAGGCAATTAGTAGGATGTACAAAGAGAAGCACACCTCTATGTAAGTGCTTGGCATATTAAACTGGACAGTTTCCATCGCTTTAAAGCACCGCAGGGGAAACTAAATGGCTTTTCTAGGTAAATACTCGCAGTGGCTGAACTGGAGATTGTCTGCAAATTAGTAACAGTTTGATGGTTTTTTCTCTCATTTTTTGTTATATGTATTTTTTTTTTAGCCGACTGTAGCAGCGATGGATGTTTATGAAATATCTGACTGAAAAAGATGGATGATGGTACAATAAAACGGGAAAGAATTTTCACTTTATACAAATGACTTAGTTAGTGTATACATGTTATATATATACACAGCATGGACAAACATGTACAATTTTATAGTGTATAGCTTTGTTCTAAACATTACATAGGCAACTCTTATTTTTAAGCATTTTAGACACCATTTGCTTATTTCCGTAAAGTAGAAAACAAACTAAAAAGGCACGTACGAGCATGATGCATGGATTATTTCAGTCTATCCAAACTAAAACTAAATGTTTCAAGCCCAAAAAGAAAGAAGGGGAAAGAGGAAGAAGTTGGTTTAAAAAGTTCCTCTTTTTTGCGGGTTTTTAGGCATCAGGAGCAGCCAGAGGGGGGGGGAGGGAGGAAAGGCCCAGCTTTGGTGGGAGAACGCGTGCTTCCAGTGCAAAAGTTTCAACACAAATAAAGAAGCCAGACTTCCTACATGGAGGAAGGAAGAGGAGCACAGTGACGGACAGCAGAGAAGGGAATCTGTTAAGACATTGGCTTGAGAGGAGCAGGATCAAAGTAGGATTCGTCCTCTTCGTCCTGCTGCTGTTTGATATCGTGGCAGACATTTTTATTTCCCTTTTTATCAGTCCAATCAAAACCTGCTGACTTTGCCCAAACCTTGTGCAAACACAGTGTTCTTGGCTCAGCTGTATCCATCTGGGCCAATAGGACTGGAGCCTGGGGTCAGAGGTCACCACTGATGGATTTTAAAAGGCAACATATTTGTGGCTGTGGATAGGCTTCATATAACCCCCCCCCCAATAAATCAAACAGTCAAAGATTGACGTGCTACTTTACAGTCACAGTGTACAGCTTTGAGATACAAAGTGGGGGGTGCAGCTCCTTGTAGTGTTGAGTTTAGTGTTAGAATTGCTTTAAAAAGTAAAGAAAATCCCTTATCCCCCTGCATAAAATAAGACTTTGGCAACCGTCTTCAGTTTAGTAGGAAAAGCGAAGCGAATCTGCTGCTCACACCCACCGTGAGGGACGAGAGGAAGTGTGGAGCTGCAGAGGGAATGCGGATGATGTCAATGCCCAAAAGAAAAAAGAAAGCACGATTGAGGCTAGAAGACCCAAAAAGCCCCCCCCTCACTCACTTCCTGTGTCAGGAGGGGGGGGGGGGGGCAGCACAGTTTTACCAGGAGCTGCTTTTCACAGATGCAAACGCTCCTCGTGGTCAGCTGGCACACCGGTGGGGGTTTCGTCATTGGCACGGAGGGCTTGTTGGTGGAGGCGGAGCTACTGATCCCCTGAGAGGCCTGACAGGTGTGATGGATGCAGGGGGGGGGGGTTACGTGGAGCAGTCTTGTTCTTTTAGATCAGTAGCTCGGAGTTTGGTGGCTATAGAGACCAAGCAGACTCACTGGCTGCTGTCGGCGTTCTCCACCAATGAGAGGCCCTGCAGTGGCGGCTGAAGCCCCTCCCTTTTATACGTCTTTGGTGGGAGTTTGGGAAGCTGCGGGATGGGGTTGTGACGCGGGGGGACAGGCGGCGCCGCGGTGGGGACAGGACACAGGCTGTTCTGGCTGGCGCTGAGCGGGCAGCCCCTTCTGGGGATGCGAGGGGACGGCGTGCTGGGGGGGGTGTTGGGCGAGCTGGGGGAGCTGTTGAGGTCCCAGTGGTATCGGCCGCCAGGCGACGGCTGCATGTTGAGCGGGTAGTTGATGAAGATTTCCGGAGGTCGCTGCGGCACCGGCGGAGGCGTGTCGGGGAGAGGGTCCCGTGGCGGGGGAGGGGGTGGGCTGGGAAGGGGTCCGTCAAACGGGGGGCCGTTGTAAAGCAGCGGTCGATGCTGGTTTCTGGGCAGAGGAGGAAGCCTGGGAGGGATGGCTGGGGGGCTGTCACACATGGAGCTCAGCTGGAACACAGAAATTATCTAAACTGAAGCATCAAATGCAACTTTCCAAACGTACGGAAAACCGCGTCTGACTTGATGACGTGGAAAACAGCTTCTACAACGATGGATTCTAGCGCTTTTCTTACTTTTGCTTCAGACACGGTGTCTTTCCTTCGAGGAGGCAAAGGAGGCGGCTTTAGCTCGTCTACTAGCTGGTGGAGGCTGCCGCAGGAGACGGACTGGAACTCTGCACAGATCAAAACATTCAAACTGGATATCTCACACCATGAAAACTACACTAAGGTAAAATCAATCTGTATGAACTGATCACTCACTATGAGATGGCAGAGAGCAGGAAAACATGGAGCCTGTAAAATACAAAAACAAAATCATCGCAAAATGGTTTGAAGGAATAAATTAGGTGCAGATATAAACGAGGGCTGTTTTTAACAGCCTTCTAGGCTACAAATATTTCTCTAATCTCAGTCATAAAAATCTATCAGAGTCTGTTTGCATAAAGGGAGAGTTATATAACTGGGACTTAGGATTGAGGATTAGCACCACTGGAAAAAAATTAAAAAGTTTAGTTTTTTTTTTTTTTTCCATTTGAGTTTAATGAGAAAAAAAAAAATTAGAATTCTGACTTTTATCTTTATCTCTGACTTTTTTCTCAACTTCTCATACTTTAACCCTGTAATGCCAAATGTATCGTATTTGATACATACGGTTTCTGAAATGTTTTGCGTCTGACACCTTTTGCATAATTTAATGGTAAAAACTTTGCTCAGAATCCTATTGTACACAATCAGATATACCTGATAACAGCCAGTAGAAGACTACACAAAAATAACCTTGACTTATGGCATAGTAATAAATTATTAATATCAAAAATGTATTTCTGTTTTTTCTTTTTACATGTTTTGTTAAAAGGCCAAATAAGGACTTCAAACCAAAAAAAAGTAATTTTCTGTTTTGTTTTATTCTTGGATCGGGCTTTAAAGGGTTAAGAGGCTGACCAGAAATGAAAAAAGTACGAAGATGTTGCAGGATCTCCTGCTCTGAACTGACCGCTGTAGGAGTTGCTGAGGTCGTGCTCCATGAAGACCGAGCTGAGGTCGGAGGAGGCCGACTGTGGAGGGGTGGGGGTGTTGGGAGAGGTGGGCACCGAGGCGGACGACGGCGGGTCCTGCTCATTCTCAGCGATGCTGCGGAAGGTGATCTTATGCTGTAGATCCCTCTCCAGGGCGACGGGGTGGCCCTTCAGGGTGCCGGAGGTAGACGTTCGCACGGGCCGGAGCCCCGGGGATTTCAGAGAGTAGGTGGTCTTCCTAGGCTGGAAGTGGCACACAGAGGTTAGAAATGGAGCAGAGGTAACAACATGCTCTACGTTTTACCCATATAATAAAGGGTGAACCAGGCTATGCAACAGGAACATTCTCTGTATGTTTTCCTTAATTTGTTGCCATGTTATCTGATCTAAGTCTTCCCTCCTCTCTCACCTGGACAGGTGGAAAATACAGCTCTCTTTTTATTAACTGTTTTATCTCTGTGCTGCCTTAAATAACTGACGTTCATCCACAGCAAAAAGTCTCGTCAGCGTGCAGAGCATGCACACACAAACACAAAATGAGAAACAGCTGAGCAGAGTGGCTAACGAGCATCAACCCAAATGTTTCTCATTAAATTTCAACGTTTCAGAAGGAAATTTGAAGTCAGATTTATTTAAAAAAAGTCACGTGTGCAAAGAAATTCTACAGTGGAAAGATCTGGAGAGTCACACCTGCTGCTAGAGGACATCAGCAATAATGAGGTCAAGCGTGTGCAGCACATGTGACGCATTATGATGGGTCACATATTCAATGACTTTAAATATAATTTGTTTGATTTTGATATCCTAAAACCACTTCGAGGTTTAAGGTATTTCACACTTAATGTGCTGACAGTCTTCCTAATAGAAATACGGGAGGCATGTTTACGTCATCAGGATTCGATTTGCTTGAAAATGATCTTCTATAACTAAACTCAGTGCAGCAGCTGAGATTTTTATTTTCTAGACCGTTTCTCTAACCAGTTCCAGATGTTGTTCAAGGCATCCTCACGGCGTGGACAGCGTCTCTCTGTGGCTGTGTGCAGTGGAGGGCTGCTATGCCTCTGATCCAGAAACATTCCTGTTTTGTAGTGAACTGTCGAACCCTTGCAGAGCCGGGTTCTGTGTACCCCACATCCCTGGCACTACACTCCGTACTTTCCCCTCCATCTATCAAAATACCAACTTTATTAACAGTTTGTCCAGCAGGGGAGTAACGACGAATCGATAACATCAATAAAAATCGGCTTCTAAAAGCGTTGGCAATGAATTTCATCATCGATTAGTTGTGTCGCGCGATTAATGCGTCATCTGCCGCCGCTGTTGTCGTCATCACTGCCGAGCTGCAGGTGAGCAAAGGCTGTTTTCAAAAGGCAGTAACTGTTCTAATGAGCGATACGACAAACACAGTTCGAGCAAAGTCCTCTAAAGTGTGGGAGCACTTTACGCTTTGTAAAGCGAAAAAAATAGTAACATACAACTTTTGCTAAAAACGAATTATTGGAACACCACTGTTATGATGCAGCACCTGAAATGAAAACACGTTGGAGCCTCGATGGCGTGAAGAGAGCTGATCAGCAGGGTGAGCGACCATGTTTGTTTGGTTTTAAAGTGGGGAAACGTAACGTTAGTTTCTCAGGTAGCTCATCTGATGCTTTCCTTACCTTGTTAGTAGGTTACAGACAGGGATAAGGTTGGCTACTTATTTTACTTTTAATTTCATTTGAATTAGCTTAAGCAGCGTTTATATTTTCTTTATAAATAAATTAACTTGCAAATTATGAGGGCAAGGCTTTTAAAGTTTAAATCTTCTGGCAAAGATAAAGTAAAGAAGATCCTGCAATTTATGGAAGTAAAGCAGAATAAAATCCAGCAAGATCAGTAATATGTCAATTAATTATCTGCCACATTCCCATGTAAATATCTGTCTTTGGAGGATGTGTTTTTTAGCACCCCTAGTTCTCTCATTTTTATTCCAAATACAATTTATAATTTGAATCACAGGGCTATTTTTATCTCTATGGTTCAGTATTTTCTCAAGTAGCAACTTTAACTGCTATACTTTCCTGTCTTAAAAGGCAGAACTCTTCTAGTCTAAAAAAAAAATGAATTTGTTGAAATGGGGAATGTATTTGAAGAGTTAATTCAGAAAGTAAATCAAAATATTTGTATGTTACAGTAATGGAAAATGAATTAGCAATTAATTGAATTTTTAAAATTTAAAGGGCACATCAAAAAGAATATTAGAATTTTTTTAATGAAGACTACAACTTTTCATTTATGTCTGTAGATAAATGAGGAAGTTTCAAAAATGCAAAACTACTGCAGAAAAAATATTTATAAATCAAAACATTTCTAATTATTTACACAAAATATTAAATGTTAGAAATGCAAATTGTAGTTTTCTGCTTTCTGCTGACGCGCTGCAGGGCTGTAATTTAACAGTTTACTGTCCTTCTGAGAACGCTCCCAGAACCTCATCACCCTCTGAGCGTCTTTTCTCTGCTGCAGGAAACATAGCCTCCAAAAAAAGAGCCGGTCTTAGCCAGGAACACATTGACATGCTAACCTTTTAGCATTGCAATGTTTGGATATATTTATCCTATTGTTTAAACCCCTTAGGGGCTTTAAAATACAAAAATTCCTGTCTTTTTTTGCGCTTTATGAAACAAAGTAGCCTATATTTTGTGGATGTATTTCTCATGTAAGTTTGTGTAGTTTTAACACAAACATTTATTTTTTACAGTACAGTTAATGAGCAACCAGTACTTCTGTGCCTGTTTGTTCTGTCTAAAATCTTTATTTTGGAATAAAGAGCTTAATATTAAAAATATTTTATGTCAGATTCATCGATTAATCATAAAAATAATCGGCCGATTCATCGATTTTTTAAATAATCGTTAGTTGCAGCCCTAGCTGCAACAATTAAATAACATTATCTATAATATCGACATTAAAATCATTTTGAGGTCTTTTTCATTGTCGACAAACCGCCATCATTTATTTTCCATTGTCAGTAATTTTTTCACACCGCATTAAAAATGTGTTTGAGATTTCTGAATCAGGTGAGACTGTTAGAGAGAAGGGAAGCTGTGAGAGAACATAAATGACAGCAAAGGAAAATATTTTACATGAATTCATTAAAGCAACGTAGTAAATAGTAATAGTAAATAAGTAAAGTAATAGTAAAATAAGTAAAATAGTAAATAAGTGAATAAAATCTCTTACAAATCGGGCGGGCTGCCTGGCGTTCCGCGGCTCAATTTCCAGAGACTTCTTGAACAGGTAATCTGAAAACTCCTTCTCACTCATGTTTTCCATTGGATTCAGGTTCTCAAAGTACCTCTAATCAACAAAGAAAAAACACATTTAAACTTCAAGATTTATAAATCAAATGTAATATATATAGATTAGAGTTAAAATCCCCGTTCATAGAGAGCAACGCTGCAGCCCTCACCCTGATATCTGGCTCCACCTTCAGACAGTAGGGCTGGTTCTGGTACTGCTGGATCTCTCCGGTTATTTCGGCCACTTTCCGTCGCTTGCTGAAGTTAATCAGGTCCTTACCGTGACGTCTAAGGAAGTCAGGGTTGCCTTCCTCAGTCTTCAGTATGTTCGTTAAATAGATGCCTAGAAAAGCAGAAGAGTTCATCAGAGGAGAATAAAAATGTAGAACTGCTTCACGGCTTTCAACATACATTTGAAATACTAAAAAGTGCAAAAAATAAATAAGGAAAAAGAAAAGGTTATAGTTTATTAGTTACTAAAAGATGGAAATGCAACAAAAATAATGTGCAGGACAGAACCTACCAAAGAAAGGCACACAGGGAGGGTTTATGGACTTGAGTCTAGCCAAGTATTTCTTAAAATGATCCTGACTGAGTTCCATCGCTTCCTCCAGGATTTTCTTTTTCCTTTCTGGAATTGCCTGTGGAGGACAAAAAGGCGAGGAGGAAAAAAAAATTATAATTTAAAGTCTCTGAAACAAAACAAAAAACAAAACAAACATCCATGTTTTTTTGAGTTTCTAATGTTAGGCCTTTCAGGAGGAGAAAGACAAAAACAGTCCCAGAAGAAAAGCATAGCAATACGAGCAGATTAGCATAGCAGGTATACTGAGAAACTCTTCTCTCTATTAAGGCTGGTTATTCTCAGAAACCAGGTGGTCTGCGTGTGTGTTGCAGTTAACGCACATATGCCCCACCCCTTCCGCAGACTCTGCCGCAGAGAGCATCACAGGGAGGAGAGAAAGGAGGTGATGCGTATTTCCTGATCTGAACTGTTTGGAAATACTCTGGCTGTAGTGCCGTCCACCTCGGACACTATCCCAGACGCCATGCAGGACGCTAGTTTGTAGCTCTGAGCGACGGTCTGTTGGTTTGAACCCGAAGCCAAAACACGGAGCGCCACGGCCGGTCTTTGTGGAACACTCATAGGTGAACTGTGTGTCACCCAGCACTGGATGAGGGGTTGTAGATGCCCACTTACACTTGGACATCCACAATCCTAGCTAGTTCTTGATTGTCCCTCTTGTGTTGTGGTGTGGAATAACAGCGCAGACCACATTGGGCATAAATCAAAAAATGTCTGCATCATACCTGCGACAAGACAACTGCCACACAGTGCTGCGGGAGGATAACCAGCGCTTTACACTCGTGTCTTCAACTATATGGCCTAGTGTGTAATGTCTGAAGACATTGAACTACGGCTGTAACCAACGATTATTTTGCAAATCGATTAATCTGTCGGTTATTTTTTCTATTAATCGATTAATAATCTGATAGCAAAAGGCTCCTTAAAGGAGATTTTTTACTAAATTAAACCAGTCTAAACTTAAATTTTTCCACTTGAGAAGTTCTGGATAGAGCATATTGACGGACAAAAAAGTTTTTTCTATCTTAAATGCAAATGTTTACATCTTTTTTTTTTTTTTTTTACAATTTTCATATATTTACTGCTCTAATTGGGTCACTCTGTCAGCTAAAGGCATGTTCTACAGGCTCTATACTACAGCTAACATTTAATCAACTACGAAAATAGTTGACTATTATTTTAATAATCGATTAACCGATTTTTTTAGTCCCACATTGCAGAACTGTACTTTTGGATTAAATGTAATAATAAAAGTTCTAATATATAGAAATAGGGTAAGTTTAAACACATCTAGGTGAAAAAGCTCCCTGCCTCTCTTTTGCTACAACCACAAACTTCACATCATGTTCTGTTAAAGACCAATTTAAAGCAGTGGATGATCTTTAAAGGAGAAAACCTTAGAGTTTTCCCTTTTAATAAAAAAAAAAAAAAAAAGAAAAAGTGTAGAATGCCTTAATTCTAAAGGCCTTCGGTGAGTTTACCCATAAATAAAACCCAAAGCATTAAGCTGTAGGAGGAACTACTTTTCTGATTTAATAGTTAGATTAAGCCACAAAGAAGGTAAAGCTGGGCGGAACAGAGTTAAGGACAGTAAAGTGCAGATTATACTTCTGCAACCGCACACATCAAATGTCGCTTGGTTCTGGTAAAAAAACAGTTTTGTTGGTATACTCCTGCACCGTCGGTCTGGAATTTCTAGGAACGCAGTTTGAGCAGAAGTGCAAGGGGGGGCCTATTCGAGAACTTTGGCGGCGGGAGTTTTTATCTTCCAAAACAACAATGGCGCATCTGCAAGATATCACAGAGATGGATCTAGAGTTGCTAGACATCGAAGAGGAACAGGTTCTGTTTATGGAGCTGGATTAATTTTTCGTCGTAGTTGTCCATTGTAGTTGTTCCTCGGGTTTTAAAAATGGCGCGCCCCGGCACCGAATCGAGAAGGACGACCACACAGACAGCCAGAAAGGCAAACCAAGGACCAATCACAGCTGCTTTTTGTCTGTGCGGGTTTGTAACCGTCCGACGTCTAGTCAGGATTTTTTTTGAGGTGCGCAACAACGGTAGCAGAGCCTCTGCGCTGGGGGCGTGGTCGTGCCCAGAGACAGATTTGACGGTTGCAGTGGCTATGCATCTGAAGCCACTGGCCTTAAGACTTGAGAATGACGGAGGATTAAAGCATTAAAGCAACGTTAGAATGGCCTAATCATAGCTTGGATCCAAATCTAATTAAAAACTGCAGCAAGACTTCATAAAGCACGGTGGTTCCATCTATTTTAGTCTCAGGGACGTATATAACAAATAAATTCTGCCCTGACAAAGAAAGAAGCACCCAGCTTTTATTCACAGACTTACCTCAAAGGTGTGGTCTAACCTGTAGACCGGGACGGAGTTGATGGCACTGACCACCTCCAGCACCCCGTTAAAGTTGTTAAGCTCCTGGAAAACCTGCAGAATCTCAATGACCCTGGATAACACGGCAACCCTTTCCTCATGGTTCATCACTTCTACGATACACCTGCAACACAAATACAGATTCCTTTAATAACCATAGAATAAATTCATGATATAGGGGATAAAAAAAGGAAAAAAAATGCAGGACTGACTTTTCAAACCACAGTGTTAGGTTGGTGGTGTGGCGGATCATACGAAGCAAGTTTGGAGAGTTCTTCTCCTTGTCCTCTTTGGTCCAGACGCTTCCCACCAGTTCTGACGGTCGGACGGCTCTGTGCATCAAGATTCGTTTTTATTACCACTAAGAATCTGGTAACAACCTCTTTACTGGCCTTAAAGTCTCCGTCACCGTTTACCTGTAGAGCTCAGACTCTATCAGAGTGAGTTGGCGGGCGATCTCAATGGGGTGAAGGGTCATGAGTTCAAAATTCTCACTCTGGCCGGCTTTGCAGATATGCCACTCAAAGGGAGGAGGCGAGCTCTCGAAGGTGATGTTGTGACTGATGCCGTTTGACTGGATTTGGAGCTTCCTCCTGATGACCTTAGTGATAGACTCCACCCACTTTCTCATGGACTTCCCTTTAAAAAAAGAAAAAGATGCAAACAGTCATTTGAAAACACCTAATCACAGACATGTAAAATGGTCTTCCATGTTGTTTTTAATCCAGCAAAAGAGCACAAACTACAACCATGGACAAAATGGTTGTTGCTCCTTTAATGAAAGAAAGACCCACAATGGTTACAGAAAAAAACTTGTAATAAAATAAAGTCAATGTTTTTTATCCATGCTTCAAAATAATGATTTAAAAAAAAGAACTAATGAAGCAGGCGTGGAAAAAATGATGGTATCCCTAGAAAAGACTAAAAAATAATGTTCCCAAGTTAATCAAGGTGTGTCCATTGTGACGTCATCAAGGTGTATCAAATCAACGTGACCATTGTGGGTTTTTCTTTCATTAAATGAGGAGTACCAACTGCTTTGTTCATGTGAGCATCTTATATTTCACCTGGTCTCTCATGGTTATTTGGTGAATAAATTTCACCTGAACAGCAAAGATTTTACTGTCGCCGGTTTGTAATTGCAAGAAAATGTGCTTGGTTTGGATTCGACAGCAGAGGTAGAATTAATATACGATATATTGATTCAAACGTGTGTGAAATATCGCAGGGGAACGATTACAGGTTTCCTACAGCATAAGGCAAGTTAAATTCAAGACTTTTTAAGACTTTTTAATGC